ATGAATAAATAAATTGTAAGATTACCAAAGCTTGAAGAGCAGAAAGTTGATTCTTCGTCGCAAAGACATTTTGATGTTGGGGCAGTGGTTTTTCTAGACAAAAATAACAAAGTCATAGTTTTACAGACATAATGTAAGACGCACTAAAATTTTACCATAACCTTTAACAATTTCTGTCTCAAACGCAATACAGAAAATTACTACTATATCCCTTTAAACATATTGTCACATACAAATAAAAGACAAAAAACAAAAAACAACAGATTTCTAAGAGAAAAATTCCAGAATATAGAGCACAACTTTTATCTCATGATGACTTATAAAACTAAAGTCCTACTGAATTAATGTTGACGCACTCTAATTGCTGGTTTATAGTGGTTAAAGTTTTTGAGATCGAAATCTTTTGTACGATTGTTTTCCCACAATACAAATTATTTTAATGAGGGTCACGATCCCACGTCCCCTATATGGCGGAGGAGATGTCGACACATAGGCCTAATTTTCATGGTTTAATTCAGTGCTGTTCCGACAAAATGCTCCTATGAAAATTATCCGGGTATTATTTAGTCAAATGTAGAGGGTTAGGGTTTGCGATTGGGGACTTAATGTTAGGTTGAGGGTTCGGAACAGGGGTTGAGCATCGTATTTGTTGTGAAAGGTTTGAGTTAAAAACGGTAGGCTGCCCGCAAGAAGTCCGTTACTGCCATTGACAATGCATATCTGTTACGGCTTTCTTTGTGGACAGCCAGAGGCGTTCCTCCCGGGGGGCAGGGGGGGGGGGCACAGTGCCCCCCACTTTTTCAAGCTCCCGAAAAGTGCCCCCTTTTACATAGGAAAAGTGCCCCTTTAACTTTTTAAGAAGTGCCCCTTTTTACATAGGAATAGTGCCCCTTTTACTTTGACAAGTGCCCCTATTAATTTGTAAAAGTGCCCCCTCCCCCTTTTCAACTGTGATAAGTGCCCCTTTTATTTGGACACGTGCCCCTTTTTCTTCGATAATTTCCTATTTTCCTTTGCAATAAGTGTCCATTTTCCATTCTCATAAGTGCCCATTTTAATCTCTAGTAAGTGCCCCTAGTTAGGTACGAGAGTGCCTCTTTTCACTTTTGATAAGTGCCCCCCTACACCTCTGCTAATTGTCCTATTTAAATCTGAGAGGTACGTGCCTCTTTTACTTTGACAAGTGCCCTTTTCCTTCGTAAGAAGTGCCCCTTTCCCTATTAATAACTACCTACCCCCATTTTAACTCGGATAAGCGTGCCTAATATTTTCACATGTGCCCTTTTTCTTTTCCAATAAGAGCCCCTTTTCCTAACGATAAGTGCTCCTCTTCTGGTAAATAAAATTTTTCAGGTACGAGAAGTTACTCTTTTTCACTTCGGATAATTGCCCCCTTCACCACCGATAAATGCCCCTTTAAAATCTGATCGGTGCCCATTTTCTTTTAAAGACCGTCAATACTACTGGGCCAGAAGGGATTAGACCACACAGCGAGGTCACTGACAGGTGGCTATCTCATTAACTTAGCTCTCAACTAACATAAGAAAAAGAGGATCATGGTGGACCAACAGGCATCGATTGGGGAAGTTTTCTATATAGAGGGAGCAAGTAGCTACAAGTAGGACAGTGGGGCTTTAACTAATGCACATTTTCCTTTATTACAAGTGACCTCTTTTCATTCACATAAGTGTCCCTTTTCAATATCTGGTCATTGCCCCTTTTCAGGTGCGATAAGTGCCTCTTTTCACCTCTGATAATTTCCCTTTTTAACAATATATAATATCTTATAAATGCCCCTATTAAAATTTGATGGGGGCCCCTTTTTTGCGGTATATTTTTGCTTTGAGATCTCCCTTTGTAGGTGCCCCTTTTTTCCAGAGAGTGCCTTTTTTTCTTGGTGCCCCCCCCCCCCACTTTGGAATTCGCTCGGCCGCCCCTGCGGACAGCTGACGAAATTCGAAAAGAGTAGGCAATTGATCGCGAAGAAAATTATCCCGTAAAATGAACCGAATTCAAGAAAAGGTAATGTTTATGTCATACGTCATAGTTGTCGTCAACGATGTGGGTGTCATCGTGAGCGATGAGGAGTTGGTCGTCGGCGTGGTGGTTGTCGTCGTTGGTTCAGGGGTTGTAGTTGGCGATGAGGGGGTCGTCGTTACATGTGGTGTGGTTGTCGTTGACGGTGAGGGGATCGTCGTTTCTTGTGGTGTGGTTGTCGTCGGCGACTCAGAACATGGAATACCTACATAACTCAAGTCACTGATAACATAGTACCGCACCACGACAGAAAAACAATGCATGATCGTATATGATCCGCTGTAGGTAACTATAAAAAGAAAGACGCATAGAAACTAAGGCAATCGTCAACATGAAAGAGGGGGGAAATGTGAATCTATGAAAGGGAGAAAAGAAGTTAAAGAGATGGAGAATGAATGAAACAGATATATGAAAAGACAGAGAAAGAAAGAGAAAAAAGGAGAAAAGAGAAACGCGAAACGAGAGAAAGAAAGAACGAAAGAAAGGGAGAGAGAGAGCGAGAGAGAGCATGGGCGAGGGTACGTTTGACACTCATATTAGATGTTTATGAAAAACATAGTCACGTTGTGACCTACAATCACTTAAATTCAAGTACTATTTTAATGGAAACTGTAATAAGTAGGGGTATTTAATACCCCTACTTATTACAGTTTCCATAAAGCTTATTCAAACATGTCTCACAACGGCGATAACAATCAAAATAACTACTTGACATAACTTGGCGCTATGTCAGGACCTACCTCCTGAAATCAGGTACGTTACGCCCTCCTTCAAGTAATCGATCCCACACGCGCTAGAGGTGCTTGGAGTCGTGATGTCAATGGTCGTACTCACATGAATGGTATCAGACGCATCATGATACACTTCGAGTACCCGCACGCTGTGGACAATTTCTCCGAATAACGTATGGTTGTTTACGATTTTCGTAACGGTACCTTTAATACCTAAAGATAAATGAATACGGCAAAATTGTAGAAAATGGAAAAAATATGCCAATGACTTATTAACTTGATCACTTCTTATAATCTCTAAGTAGCATAATTTTTGTCAGTATTGTTATCTTCACATCTTTTAAATGTGTGATAACTTTGAAGTAATAAAAAGAGAGAGAGGGGGGGGGGGGGGAGAAGACAGAGAGAGAGAGAGAGAGAGAGAGAGAGAGAGAGAGAGAGAGAGAGAGAACAAACACGAGAGAGAAAGAGAAAGTGAGAGAGAAATAGAGTGAGAGAGAAAGGCAATATGAAAAGAAGATAATATCCCCTTCCACTCCCTCATGAGATGACCATGTTTTCATCCAACCGGTGAGCACGGTGCCTCCCCCCCCCCCCCCCATTAATGCCCCCCCCCTCAATGGCTTCATCCAAGCTTCTTCCTCGCTACGCCACGGCCTGCCCCCTCCACTCCAACTTACCGAATTCCGAGGAGCAGAAAGGTGGTTCCTCGTCACAAGAACATGCTGATGTTCCATAAAGAGTGACAGCAAGGAAAATAAAGATGGAGGTGATGGTTGGTATCGCCATAGTAACTGTATCCTAAATCACAGGAAATTAGTTCGCAATGGTTCCTAGGAAAGGTAAGACAAATGGTGTCAAATGGATACCCGGTAGGATGCGGCCGTCATTGTTGGTCAAACAGCTTGTGAGCGTCAAGTAACGCCCGACTGGAATGCTCCCCAGGGAGTGGAGATTGTGCACACAGTGTGCGGGCAAGCACTGAATCCAATGACCGGGGTAATAGTATATTATTTTGTAAAGCGCTTAGAGACATTTGTATTAAGCGCTATATAAAAATTAAATATTATTATTATAGGACATCTAGGCACAAATCGGGATAACAGCCATGTTTAAATTTAAAGGTTAATCCAACTTTAATAGACAAGTACTCTAAAAAAATTAAGTTAAAAAGTACACAAATTAGAGGAGTAGATTGGTGAAAGTTTTAACTAAATCGGACAATACGAAAGTTATGAATTTTTTCATTATACTTATAGACACTTTAAATTGGCTGAATTAGTAACGCAAAGTGACGTGCTGCTTTCCAACTTGTTTCAACACGCAAAATGACTTAAAGAGAAAGTTGAGTTCTGGGAAGAGGTAAAAAATAATTTGTGAGCGTTATCATTGTTTTTATGCAAGTGTGGAAGAACATCAGATTAAACATGTTCCCTGAAAAGCATGGCTCTTCAAATGCCTTCATATTCTAAATATGACATGAAACATCGTAAAAATCCGGGTAGGATTTTTTCGCCATGTGTTCGTGTAGTCCCATATACATAAATCTGTGTACAGTGCTTGTAACTTTGCCAAGATTTGGCCAAATTTCTTATCATTTTGATGATTCCAGAACCTTGCAATACACACGAATACTTATATACTATAGATGATCAACATTTTCTAATAGATTCCACACCGTTTCTTTCACAATGCAATCACATGACCAGAACTCAACTTTATCTTTAAATGTCAATTTTTCAAAATGTATAACTCAGGGGGGGGGGGGTCTTTTCTTTTTAAAGGACCTGTATTTTGTTGGTTGTGCCCCAAAGGAGAAGACTCTTACGTGAAAAACAGAAATCAGGTATTTGTTTGTACACGACAAACGGGAGAGTTGTCCATGACTACGTCACTATCCACTGACCACATTGCCAATTTGAGATTAATAATAATAATAATAATAACAACATTTATAATGCGCACATATCCACCCCAAGAGATGCTCAAGGCGCCTAACAAGGTAAGTACATTGAACGAAAATAATTTAACATAATTAAATATAATTCAACAACGTTAATTACATCAGATTGTGAAATACACTACGTCTTAACTAAGGAATTCAGACATTAGATAGGTTTTCAGTTGTTTTTGGAACACATTTTGATTGGCTGACATTTTGATTGAATGGGGTAGGGAGTTCCATAACTGGGATGCAGCAGCTGTAAAAGCTCTGTCTCCCCAACTCCTCAACCCCGATTCCCATAGATCAATTTATAGATTACTTAAAACTATCTTATAATTAGTCCGATTTATTTCAACCTTTCGCCATTCTGTTTATCTGATTTATCTGCTTTCATACAAATATACTCATTACAAAGGCTGGATTACTGTAACGACATACCGTGTGTCTAGACACTGAGGGGACAACTCGGTGCATGCCGTTGGATAAAATACGGATTTAAATAAGGGTATATCGTATAATTTTTGTCGGAATTAAGTGTGTAGTATTTTAACGTGCATATCCCTTGCCCCCCCCCCCCCTCCTTGCCCAACATGCACACGCATCTGATGAACATGTAATAGTGTCGAGGTGTCGTAGCTAGTCGTCAAGTGGTTGGAAACACTCGACTTTCAAGAGATACAATCATGTCACATGATCTTTAACCCTATAGTACGGTGCCTGTTCATTTAAACAAGTTAGTTTATACATTGCTTCTCTCTACCCAGGTGTATAAATGGGTACAGAGTGGGAAGCTCTTGCGTGTAAGTAAAATGGCGGCTGGCTAATGGCTCCGTAGCTAGAGACTGAGGGAAAAGCAAGAGCTAACTGCCAGTGTTCGGCATTGCAAGTGAATCCGTTGGCAATGTCCATAATGGTCTTTGGTTGACCTCAAGCTTGCGTGAGTTTGTTCTTATTAATATTAAACCGGTACAAACAATCAATCTACTGCAGGATAAACAATCCAAACTGAATTGTAGCCATGGTCTCTCGACATGCGATGCCCAGACCAGAGCTCAAGATTAGCTTTAAAAGTAAGGGTTGGGTATAATAATAATAATAATAATAATAATAATAATAATAATAAATTTATATAGCGCAGCTTTTATACAAAATATATTCAGCTGCGCTGGTTAAGAGCTCCTTTTTACTAAATTCTACAAATTAAATAAGATCTCTCAGTTGAACAAATAAGTTTTTAAATTGGATTTAAAAACATTGAGAGATGGAGTGCTTCGTATTTCTATTGGCAAGCTATTCCATAGTTTGGGGGCAGCAATAGCAAAAGCACGGTCCCCAAGAGTTATTTTAGTTTTGCCATGGGGAATCTGAAATAATAATTTATCTGTGGAACTGCGTAGGCTATGACTGTGTGATTGGACTTTGAGTTGGAGTAATTCTGTGATGTAATTAGGGGCTTGACCACTCAATGATTTATAGACAATTAACAATATTTTGAATGAGATTCTTTGACGGACTGGTAACCAGTGGAGTTCTCTCAGAAGAGGTGTGGTTGAAGTGAATTTCGACCGACGATAGACAAGTCTTGCACATGCATTTTGGACTCTTTGTAACTTAGCTATCAGAGAATCAGGCATTCCAAACAGCAACCCGTTACAATAATCAAGCTTACTTGTGATAAGAGCATGTACAACCAATTTCATACTTTCTTGATCAAAATATTTGCGGATACGTCTGAGATTGTACAGAAGATTGTATGTTGATTTGCATATATTTTTAACATGTGTTTCCATGGTTAAATTAGTATCAAAGTATACTCCTAAATTCCTTGCTGTAACAGAGGGTATCACATTTGAGGATCCAACTCTTACACCGTCAATGCTTGTTTTTGAGATTTGTTGTGGAGTTCCTATGACCAAAAATTCACTCTTACTATCGTTTAGCTTAAGATTATTGTTAAGCATCCATCTATGAATAAAATTAACACATTTTTCCAACATTGAAACACTTGCATCTTGAGTACTAGTGGATGGTCTAAAGGATAAAAATAATTGTGTGTCGTCTGCATAACAGTGACAGGAGACTTCAGGAAAATTATCCTGAGTGCTCTTGATTAGATTACTCGTGTATAACATAAAAAGCAAAGGGCCGAGCCGAGAGCCCTGTGGCACACCAAAGGGCACCTGGAAAGAGTCAGAGACAATGCCATCAATTTTATCTTTTTGATGTCGATCAGACAAGTATGGCTCGATCCAGCTGAGAACAACACCGTCGATACCGCAACATATCTTCAAAATATCTAGTAATCTGGAATGCTCAATAGTGTCAAAGGCACTACTCAAGTCAAGTAATAACAGGAGAGTGATTTTCTGTCTGTCCATTGCAATCAGAATATCACTCTTGATCCTGAGTAGTGCCGTTTCTGTACTATGAAACTGTCTATATGCAGACTGATTGGATGGAAGGAGTGAATTACTGTTAAGAAACTGTAAACTCTGTTGTGTGGCTGCACCTTCTACCAATTTAGAAATGTATTGTAGGTTACTTATGGGTCTAAGATTACCAAATTCAACATCAAGCCCTGGTTTTTTCAACAATGGTGAAACAAGTGCGACTTTCCATTCTTGAGGAAAGTGGCCCGTAGACAAGGAGACATTGATCATGGATATGAACACAGGTAGTATAACATCAATATATTGCAAGAGAATCTTTGTTGGAATCGGATCAGCAGAGCAAGACTTCTTGCTGAGCTTCATCACAAGTTTCCCTACTTCCTGTTCAGATAAAAGTTTAAACTTATCAAGCTTGATACCATCAGGTACTGGAATAAGACTTGATGAATCAGTATCAATTCTATCCATCAAACCTATGCTAGTTTGAATGTCACTGTGGATGTTTAGAACCTTGTCATGAAAGAATTTTCCTAAGTCATTCACAAAAATCTTTTTATCAATATTACATGGCATCACTGGTTGTTTGTTTGAAACATTAAGCAGAGATTTTATGACAGTGAACAAGCCCTTTGAGTCATCTTTGTTATGTGTTACTAAATCTTTATGATAAGTTCTGTGAGCAGCGTTCAAAGCATACAATGCTATAAAATACTCTGCAATATCAATTTATTATTTCGGATACATTATACAAGTGCAGGGTAATTTACCTCGTCTACAGCTTTGGAGTGTTTCAACAGTTCAAACCTTTGAAGCCGTCGAACAAAGTCGGCGAAGTAATCCACACAATATTATACCGTGTTGAGAATATGAGAATAGAAATTAACAGAAACACTCTACACTATGAAAATTCAAGTCCAGCTTCCGCGTATTGAAATACACCTTTCTATGTATGGCCTGTATAGCAAGTACAAGATGACACTGAGTAAACAAATGTAATTTCTGCAATTGCTAGTCTCTATTGTGATCTTTTGTTCATCATAACATATTCATCATTCAATTGCAGTTTTGCTTCAATAACTCCCGGTTCCTGTGTCGTAGTCTTCAATGTATAGGCGTGATGTTTTTTTGGCATCTATGCTGTTAATAATGATTTTGTTATACTTTTCTTTAGTATGTTGAACAAATCTAGTCATCTGATTGGTCGAAATTGGAGTCGTGATGTTAGCCACACCCGTCTACCGGTCAATAGTTTTTTTGTTTAAAGATGCCCGTTGCCCCGGGTAACGGGCTGCATAAAAAAAAACATTTTGCTGAGATACCCATTGGTGTACGTGTAAAAAGTTTCTTTGTGCGAGCGCACATACAAAATACAATGCAGTGTGTGTGCGATTCCCGAATGAACGTCACATTCAGGCAACTTTCTAGTGGAAATGTAATTTTCTGTATGCATTTAATTCTTCCTTCTCTCTCTCTCTCTCTCTCTTCTGTCTGTCTCTCTCTCTCTCTCTCTGTCTAATCATC